AAATGCGTATTGACAGAAGAGCCTTATTAGTATCAGTGGCGTATATAGAAATAATTATAATAGACAGAAACTAGAAAGTGATCTATTAATGAAAGGCTACTGTCTGCTAAATATTTAAGTTTCTATAAATATATTTGTATTTGTTATTTATATATATATAGGTATGCGGAAATAATATCTAAAATAAAATTTAAAAAAATACAAATAAATCAAATGTTATTGAATGGATTTTTCTCCTCAAGTTTGTCATTACCGTAATTTGCATGTTCTGTTATTAAAGGAGCATCTTCAACTTCATTGTCAGATAGTTCTGCTAGATGTGTTTTCATATGGTTCCAAGTTCTTCTTTAACGTAACACGCCTTTAAAATAAGTTGTTACAGTAGGTACTGACAAATGTAACGAATGTCTTCATTTCTGAACAAAATAAAAATAAATTAACTTTTTACATTATGTTTGAAAATAATTAATATAAAAGTAAGACTGAAATATTACTTTTTCGTTAGTTTGGGGGGTATAGCTTGGTTATATTGACCACTGCAATTGGTCAAAACGGTTAGTAACGGCCTCTTCTCTCAACGCGCATCTTAGGCACATTTTGCAAATCCATTTGGTAGGGTTATTACTGTGCGCTTCATCATATCGTACCGTTGTATGTAAACAACATAATATTTCTCTTTAGGTTTGGTAATTGGGTCTCTGGTCTTTCTTCGTTTACATAACTAACAGTTCACAAAAGGATTTTTCGACATCTTTAAAGTACAGGAATTCTGTTGACAAAAGTTAAAACTTTAAAAGTATTTAGAATAAAATATTAGCTAAAAATCAATATTTTTATCCCATTACTGACCAATTTACTTATTTTTACTGATACTGTATCAGCATGCCAAAACTGAAGAAAATATAATTTTACGGCCACCAGTCCAGGGCCAGGCAGTAAAAGTTTTAATACCTACGCGTAATAGGTTAAATGATAGAACTTTAAAAATAATTTTATGTTGTAGATCAAATATGGTTTGAATATTATTATTATTTTAAAAGAATTTATTATTATTATTTTTTTAAATGTTAGCTAGTAGCTTCTTTGTATTATTATTAAATTAAGTCAGAGAATGTCTTTTCATATTATATATTTAAAAAATAAACTAATTTACTTTTAATGTTTTATTTTAAAAATGAATACCTAAGTCACTGAATATTTTCAAAATTAAACATGAAATTATCTGAAATTTATCTAGATAAAATTTAGTATAATTATTTTTATCTTTATCTAGATACAATTTAGTACTGTTACATTTATCTTTATCTAATACATTATTAGTGATCTATTCCAAACATTATACATTAGGTGTATTGTATTGACGCTACGATTAGTGCACTACTCCCGACCACTGGAAATGATAATTCAATGTATCTACTATAATTTTACTTTTATAAGCATGCCCGCAACACTACAAAAATGTCGACCGGAGGACCGTTTTTGTTGCACCAAGTCACCGAGCGGGATCACTCGCTCGCTCGGACAATCGAAGACAATCCCACGATTTGCTATACAACACCTCCCCAAGTGGACTCGATGGCCAGTTAAAATAAAATAAGTATATATATAACTCGAGGGCCTCCGCGCGGCATTATAGTAGTGTTGCGGGCAATGCGTATATAAACGTAAAATCGAAAACTTTGGAAGGCCATAACTTCGAAACTAAGTGTGAGCGACAAATGATTGCACAATCGTTCTTAACTCGATAAGTTACATAAGTTTCGATAAAAAAAATTCAAAATGGCGAGGGTGAACTACACTGCAATTATACCCAATATTATTATATTTATTATTTTAAGAACGGCTCCGTAGTCAGTAACTGGCTGTAAATTTCGAGAAATATTCAAATGGCAGAGCAGACAGTCCGAACTCCGAATTACGCCGTGTCCAACTTAAATCCGGCGATTGGGTGCGATCGGGCGCATTTACGTTGGACACGGCGTTATTCAGACGTCATAACCAAACCAAGGCTGTAGCTGTACAGTCTACATTCGCTATGCGACCATTTTGTGACTCTCATCTCAATGAATCATAGACCTATAAAGACCTATAATATATACCTATCTTATTATGTCTATGCAATGAATAAACAAAAAAATGAAGGGGGAAATAGGGATGCACAAACAATATCTGAGTGTTAGCATATGTGGTCACACTAATTTTTGCGGGTACCAATCGGAGCACCGTATTCATTTCTTGCCGCGATGCCTACAAGGTACTAGGTCATCTGGTCATGCACGATCTAGAAATTTGTGCTGGGAAAAATAATGCACCAATTGCACCGGAATTAGTGTTTAGACGGCAAACCGTACACGAAAAAAAGTCCCCGAAAAAAAGTCCTCGTGAATAAAATCTAATAACAAAAAAAATTGTACCTACTACCTATTAACATAGAGTAATTATTACTCTATGATCAATTGTTAATTTTTTTTTATTGAAACTAATTATTAGAGTACCTAATTAGTAATTATTACTTTCACACGGGTTTTTCTCATTAAGGCCCAATAGCTCACAAAAAATAAAGTTACGATGGTATTCAATTACGTTCAATTACGAAATAAATATTATTTAAATAATATTTTTATTTATCTAATAGGTATCTATAGGTAAGTTCGAAAAAATACATTACTTGTGTGTACAAACGGCATCTACAATCTTATGATTATAAAAAATTAAAAATAACAAAAGGTGCTCTGTTGTACTGTAGGTTACAAGTGGGTCACTGTATATTGGATGGTATTAAATTTGAATTCAATGATATAATATCATTGTATAAGAAAAACGATTCTGAGCAGAGACCGTATGTCAGTGTAGGTTTAAGAAATATTATATACTTATCTATGGTATTAAACAAAAATAGACCCATAATATTTACCTATAATAAATTCAAAATTAATCATGTCACAATATCCATTAGGTACTTATAACTTGTTATACATCATCAACAAACTGTAATACTATCATAGATATATAATAGTACACTTTAGGAGTTTCAAGTACCCACGAATAATATAATACAATCACAACAAAAAACCAAAATCATTAATATTGATTTTTATATGTAATTTCGTCCAAATCTGAACTTAAAATGACTATAAAAATAAACTTTGCTTGTGAATTTTTAGTTTTTTTGGTAACAGGATTAACTACTTACATGGAATCTTGTTTTAAATTTTCAATTCTTAGATATAAAAGTTAAACATTTTATAAATTTTTAACTACAAAATAATTATTCAATTTGAAATTTGAAAATTTGTAGGAAATGCTAATATAAACATTCAGTGAAATGTTCATGTATTTACAGTTATTCATTTTTTAATTACAACAAAATAAGGAAATTGCTACACTATAAATCGAGTGAATATCAAATATTGTAAAAATTTGAATTTCATACTCTGATAGAAATTTAATTAGACGTTCCGGTAGAGATTTTTTATTGATAAAGGTAGAAAAACTTATGAATAATCTTGTATTACATTTTCAAATCTAAGATTTGAAAAGAAAAATTTTTACTAATTCTTAACTCAAAATAATTTTATAATTTTCGTGATTTTTCCATATTTTGTCAATTTTTGAACTTTAAATGCTTATAAAAAAAAACTGTGACTAAGGATTTATAGGGAATAAGGATAATATTTTTCATCTGCCTTTGAAATAATATACTAGGAGCCTTGTATTAAATTTTCAACTATTTTTACTCAACAAATAATTTTTTATTGACATTCATAGAAAGAAAGACTAATAAAATTGAAACAGAAAATGTTCCTAAACAGTTAAAAAGAAATCAAAATATTTTGATAATTGTATCGTGTATAGAAAATTCAAATATCAACAACCAGTAGAAATTGCATGTATGTACGGTCATTTGTTTTAAAGTTACACCAAAAACCAAAATCGATTTTCTCGAAAACAGATTTTGCGTAAAAATTCCCGTTTTTCCTTAATTTTTCTTTTGTTTTTCCCGGCGCTTTTCAAAACTACTGGGAAATTTGTTGACCTCCCCAATGCACCAACGATATTCACTTTCCAATCGAACAAGATACTGAAGTTGAAAATCGAATCATTATTTCGACTAGGTACTTATCGTGTAAACAGACACAAAAAAAATTTTTAAAAAAATAAAAAAAACACACATCATTGTAAAATCAATACATTCATCGTTCCATTCAGAATCTAAAAAACACATTTTAAAACCAGAACATTCATTGCTGCTCTTTAGATTCACTGCACAGTCAAAAATATATTTATATAATCAATTACCTATGTTAAAGTTATATTTTTTATTTAAACGTTATAAGCATGGTTATAATTCTATAGGTAAGTGGTTCTGTATAACATAATATTAAACTATCGAACAAACATATTATGAACTACATAATAATTATATTATGATGAATACAATACAATTTCCTTTACATGCATTTATATATTATACTGATTATATCAACCCAATTTAATTTTCCATTATTTGACTAATATTATAGTACGTAAGAAACTAGTTTTGATGTGTTCTTTACGTTGATGTATTCATTCATTGTTATTATATTGAATTTGTTTTATTCCATTTTCTAAATGTGGCACAGTAGTTTGAATACTAATTTCTTTATAGTAGATTAATTATAAATAATAATTATATCAAAAAATAAATAAACTGAAAACAGGAAAAAATGAAGAACCTAGTACTTCTAAAATTGTTTTTAATTCGTAAAGTACAGTGTTAGAAGAAATAATCATATATATTAAATAATTTAATTAACAATTTTTTTTAAGTTTTACGCTTAATAAAAAGTGAGATTATTTTTAGAATTGTAATTAATATTGTAATAATACAAATAGAAGGTAACTAATATTAGTTACCTAGTAATCAATAACTCATTTCATAGTTTTAAAAGTAGAAAATAAATTAATAAGAGAACGATTGTTTATACAGTTTTTTTTTTATTGAATTTAAAAGAAAATAATTATTTTTTTTGTTTCTTGATATAAGTTTCATGTCCTCTTATAAATTTAACAGGAATTTTATATTGATCTGAAAAAAATATATATATACTTAGTTAAAGGAGATAACTCAAATTATTAAACAAAATATTATAAAATAGTTATCAGATCACATTTGCGAAACTTATAACTTACACAATTAATATCCATTATATACACTAATAACATGTTACATTTTCTATAAAATCAAAATTGATCATACATGGTACTTTTAACGTGTAGTTTTTGTATTTGTCCAGAACTTTGCAAATATCTATTAAAATACCTTAAAAATATAGTTTAAATGTTTAAAAATTTAATTACTAAGAAAATATATATTATTGTTTTTATTTTATGAATCCTATTATTTATTTATTAGTCTAATTTTTTCTTTTTTTTTGCTTGTCACAAACTAATGGCTTAAACTTAAACTATTCAAAATGAAAAATCAGCAAAATATTATAATAGTTGTGTACTAAATACTAAGTCTCGTCTTGTTAACTATTAATTATTTAAAAGAAATTTTTTTTATATTTGTCATATCTTAAATCTTATCGATAATATATAGATTATTCTGAATTATTAAAAGGTATATAATATGTTCATGTGCCATCTTTGTAACTCTAGGAAGTAGGAACAACGTTCCTTTTTTAAATTACTCAACACCATCAAAGTAACAGCCATTTAAAGATTATTAACAGAATGTTAATAAATTGTACTATCTAATAATATTAAAGATTTGATTTCTTTTACCATGGCATTAATCGTCAAAATCAATTATATCTGAGTAAATTTATTGTTTATTGCTATATTTTGTACTAGTGTTTAAGTATTATCTATTATTTCATTACCTACGGTATTTAAGGTACTATTTGCCTTTAGGGCGTTAAATAAATTATTATTATTATTAATTTATCAATAAATGTTTAGCTGTCATAACATTGTCCCACAGCAGAATAATTACTGTCCAGTGCCTGAATATTGATGATAATAATAATAACCATAAATCCTTCTTTTTGGAAAGTTTACAGTTGGTTTTCAATTATAATTTGTTAATTAACAGACATTTTTACATATTGTTAATGAGAATGATGTACAAAATATTCGTAGAGCATCATATGAAATAAAATAAAATATACATTAAATTAACTAATAGGACCAAAGGACTGGGTTAAAAATTAAATTCATAGAACTAGCTTAATGTCAAACTGAGCTTTAACTAATAAATATGGAATGGTTCTCAGAGAAGTATGCAGGAACTCAATATTTTATTCTGGATATAAGGTCAGGAGCATCCGATGTCCCAATGGCTTCTAAGCCATTTAGAATAGAGTTGTAAAATTGAAGATCAATTGTGAGAAGTAACAGTGAGAACAATGTTCAATTTATTGTAGAACATATTTATAAATCTTATTAATGTTACCATATATGATTAAAAAATAAAATAAGTATAATCTTTAGATAAATAAACCTATACTTTAAATAAATGAAGTATTTTGAGATTCAAGATGATCGATGAACATTTTTAAATTTTGAACACCATTACACCGAATATTAAATAACGAGTTAAATAAAGTTTGAATCATATAGAGTTGGCATTTTTAAGGGCAACAAGGGCACAGGGTCAGTTAGTTTTACATATATGATTTAAACAATTATAATATTATTAACTTGCCTGTTAATAATTTATACACAAAAAGAACTTGAGAGCCTTGAATTTGGACTTGTCTATTTTGTGCATTTGGTATATCATTAATAGTTGTACTGGCAGCTACACCATGTTGACATTCTTTACTAAATTTTAAGACATCGACACCATATAGTTCTAAATTATTAACTAGAGTCACCTGAAATAATATTGTAAGATAAATTAATATTTATATTGGATCATAGTTTATTTTATTATGCTCATAAACAAACCTTTTTGTTTCCACTTCGATTATTAACAGTCATTTCAATATTATTAATTTTTTTCTTTAAGTTTTTTTTTGTCTCAGTATTCAGGACTGATATTTCAGTCCGATGCATTATTTTTGTCACTTCTTCAATTAAATCTTTGAAGGTTATTGAAGATTTTTCTTTTCTTTGAGATAATATTTTTTTTAAGACATCATTTGTATTTACTACCCTAAAATAAAATAAATTGCATTAGTCATTACTTAATCTGAACAAATCAGGCAGTGTTTTTTTCTGGATTAAGCAGCAGCCACAAAAATACAAGAACAACATTTAACATAAGAAAATATATAGTTTGAATTATAATAATACATTAAATACTAATATTATGCCAGCATGAGATATTTTATTAGATATAAGTATATAAGACATTATATTGTTTTATAAAAAAGGAATAATAGTACTTGTCATCCCAATATACACAAGTTAACATATTCAAACTACCTACTGAAAATGTTTTTGGTTACCAGATATAATAAAACAATATGTACATGTGAATGAGAACATTATACACCCCTTCTTATTTAAACGTCTATTAAATTTATATTTAAAGGCCCCATGGTTAATATCTGTCAGTATTTCTAAAAAAAAATGCATTAGATAAGACTGTTTGATTTGGTCCTAAGAATTTTGTCAGAAATAAGCAGTGGTCTAAATTAAACTACAATTATTGAACTTGAAAAAAATTAGTTCAATTAAGTTTATACTAATACATTAATATTGGCACTAATAATAGTACTACTTGTTCATATTTTCAATTATATATTCAAAAATAAAATTAATATTTACAAAACATACCTAACTATTTAACAGTTTAAATTTAAATAATATATATATATAGTTTTATCTTTTAAATATTCATAGTATTATGTCAATATCAACACAAAATTTTAAAATAATCAATAAAGGATACTTGAAAAATTAGGAAAACTATTATTAATTATATCAGTGATGCATTTAAAATATATTATGCTTCTCTTAGTGAAATAATTTTATCGCCGCCCCTCCCCTCCCTCCAATTTTCACCCATTACTCTTTCCAACCTCATACATTCCCTTTTCAATCTCAATTACTATAAAACTGACTTCTGATGTGTTTGTGTATAAACTAGATACTCCTGTCAATGGTCATTGGTTGTAGATCAGTCGTTTCACTCATATCACATTCAACTCTAAATGATTTGGTACGATAATCTGTTACCACTTATTACTTGGAGGCAGGGGAGTATTTACGAAGGCGGATATGATTACAAATCCGCCCACATAGCTCTTTAAATACATGTGTATAAATTATATTACAAATGTGTGTATTTTCACACACATTATATTTTAATTATTACATCATAATCTGTAAGCTTAAATTCTTGTCATCCGCCCCCTACGAAAAATACTAAATACGCTACTGCTTGGGGGTACAAAGCGAAGATGACTTCCAAGATAGTGTACCCAGGGTAACATTCTGCCGTAAAAAGTCTACATAAAAGGCAAGGTACTCGACATAAAATCACTCATGGTTCTTTTATACAACAGCGCTAATAACAGTTACCTATTACTCAGAAAAATTAAGCCATTGATTAATCAATGATGCTATTAAATATTAAATATTTTGAGATAAAAAAAATGAATACACTGTATATAACGGCCACCGTTAAAACAGTTAAAACTTTGCCACTGAGGGCATTCGCCCCCTTCGACTAACCCCTCCCCCTAAATTTGACACCGACATAGGTAATAAAAATGAAAGAAATACATACGAAGGGTCCGTTTTATCTTGTAGTTCATATTTCTTAATATATTCTGTAATATATCTTCGAATAGACGATAATGGTAATTCATCTCCTTTCCTAAAAAAAATTTTATTTAGAAATATTAGTTTACTAGTAATATTATCAATTGAGTTTTAAAAATATTAACAAACCGACAAAGAAATTCTGAAAATATAGGATATAATCCTGGTGTGACTATATAAATCTCTTTTACTGGAGGTGTATATTCATCATCATTTTCTTTCAACTCAGAATTTTCTTCTATATTTATTTCTTGAAATTTTCTATTACTATGAATGACCTGGGTTATTTCAGCAATACCATTACTACCAACATTAAATTTGATTATACCTTCTACATCCAATAACTGTAAAAACGTTGTTAACTTTTTAAAACTAGTTTTTTTAATGTCAAGTTCTATTCCTTCAGGACAAAATGACATTACATATTTCTTATAGAATGTACTAGCTAAAATAGGCAGCATTTCTTTTTTAATGCAATGTTTTAATGCTTTTAGTGAACACGTCATTAGCAATTCATCCATTTTTTCAATAATAGTTCGGGTATCTTCTGACTGAGTTGGTATATCATCATTTAATTCAGGAGCATTTTTAAAAGAACGTTCCATCATTAAAACTACATCAGGCATAATGTTTAATATGTTAGATTTAAAAAGTTCATCTTTGTGATAATGTAACACTTTTAAACAGATATCTTTGTTCTTTTCATGGTTTACTATAGTATTTCCATTAAGTATCAAGTATCCAATTGCAACAATTTTTTCACATGAGTTGGTACATATACTAACACACTGATCAACAAGCAACGGAACTAGTATATGATCATTATTTAAAAAAGTTAAATCTTTTATAGTTAGTTCTGACGGTGAACTGAGTTTGGATCTGAAATTCTCATGTAATATTAATCTGGGGACTATGTGAGGAAATGACCAAACCATAAACAATGTTGGATAATATTTGCCTTTAAAATCAAACACTAACGCAACTTCTTGGGCACAATAAATCTTGACTATATCATTAGTGCAGGTTATAACTTTCAACAGTGACAATTGTTTATGATTCAAAAATTCATCCAGCATTTCATTGGTCAAGTTAAAACATTTGCAAATGGTTGATTTGAGTTTTTTTCTAAAATCATAATACAAAAATTAATTAAAATGATACCAAAAATCACCAACTTTTCGCAATAAATGGAGTATTTACTGATCGGCGCCTTTTAGTGCAGCATTCGATTTGATGCGAAATTCGTTTTTGAACATAATTGATATGGCTGATTATAATTCACTGTGGCTAAACAATTTTACAAACAGGTTTTGCGTCTAAATAGATTCTTTAGACAACCGATATCCTTATAGAACTACCTTATAACCATGAACTTGCGGCGATAGTTCCTAACCTGTTAGGAAAATGAGTGTAATGTAACAAAATTAGAGTAATAGAATATTATATTATGTTGTTGACAAACAACGCATGCTTCTAAATAGTATTGTTCTATGCTTCTACCAGTGGGTCGCGAAGAATTCCACGAATTCTGAATACTGAATAGTCGTAATCGTCGAGGAATTAGGTCTCAAAGTGCGCAAAAAAATTAATGTAGACTTTTATAGTTTAAATCCTCGATTACAATATTGCACATCGAGAGCATATTTTGATTTGATAAGGACGCGCACTATCGTCGGGGTATCAACTGTCCCGTTATCAAGAATGATGTCCTCGTGATAACACGAACTGGACAACTGATAAAAATGTCCACACGGGAAAACTCGTTGGTGGCACTGCGGCAATGCGGCATCTATCTGTACTGTTTGTCGGATCGGCGAATTTGACGGTGATTGGATGATGATTTGGCCTCACCTACAACAGCTCTCGACGACAATAAGTAACAACAACAATCACAGCTGCGTTATTTTAACGGTTTTTTTTCGGCAGCTCGGGATCATTATGGATTTAATTCTTTCCGTTCTAACTTTCAATCGTATAACACTAATGGTCTGTTCAGTATTTGTAGGAAGGACGGTATAGAGTCCGTGACTCGCATTTCGTGTTGATATAGATCGTTTTCTATTATAATTATTAACTCTGGTCTTGTGATTTTATTAATTTTGTGACAATGTATTTTGAACGACCGGGTAACCAGTCGTAAGACAACTGAACATCATATATTTCTGCTGAAATTTGATTCTATTCGCATCAGCTGACCTTCAAGATGTCTCAATTTGTTGTAAGTATTATGATTTGTGCTCAGTAATTTGTATATAATTTTTCATGATTTGTATACCGGCTGCTTACTGGTTCAGACTAAATACCATTCTATTAACTGCCACTATTATACTGGTATGATTATATGGTATATAGTTTAATAAACAGATTTATAAATGTATAAAATCAGTTCCATTCAAGCTTAGGTATGCCTGTTTGCTATAAATTTGAAATGACGGTATATTCCAATATCAATTATCAGATGATTTAAACACTCATTAATTCTATTTAGCTTATATTTATACAGCGGAAAGAATGGTACTGAGAATAAATTTTTTAATTTATTGTTAATGAAGTATAATTGCTTATTAAATAGTAAAAAATACCCTAACTATCTACACAGTGCCGCCGATCACCTAATTTATCTATGACATATGTCATAGTACATTTTTTAGATGGAAGCCCCACCGTAGGGTACTGCAAAGGACGCCGCTATGGATCCGGAATTTATGTTAAAACGTAAAAATAAATTATTAAACATTGCATTATGTAGGTGCTTTGATTGCATCTAATTCGTTTATTAAAAAGGGAGGATGATAGGGGGCCCTTTGATGTGCGATTTCATAGTTTATTTTAAACACTTCTTCCCTACTGTATCTACAAAATATGGATGTACCTATCTTCAATAGTCAGGTAGGCGTGTCACTATAATTCAAGAATTTCACCATTGTTCAAAATATTGAATAATATACTTAACAAGACTAGGATAGGTACTGTCCTAGAAACCTTTCTTCAAATATAGACTTTTATTGTTTTTTCATATTTTCTGCCCAGCAATAGCACTAACTTACTATTATTTATTCATGAAATTTAAAAAGATGAAGAACACAATACTTGTTTTCTCGCAGACACACACACGACATGGATAAAACCAATTCATGCTAAATTGTTTATTTTATACTTTTTGAGTAGGTAGAGTAAAATTACCTATACTTGTGCCATTGAGAGAGCGCTACTGGGCGGCGCCCAAAACTCTTCCGATCTCGCGCATTCCCACCACTAAATCTGCCCGTACGTTGGCCGCCGCCACCGTCGTTGCTACAACTATAATATGGTAGAGTAGGAGAAATTAGAGTACAGTCATTTGCATACACCAACGAGTAGCGCTCTCTCAATGGCACTAGTATAGGTATTCAGTCTTGGTCAAATAATTTTATCAAGGGGAAGGAGGGGCCTGATTTTTAATATGCACAATTTGATCATTAAAAATATAATTTATGGATATAAGATCTTAAATATAGAAAAAAAGGTCAAGGGCCATCTTATATACGAAAATCGATTCTGAGCGGAGACGGTTTGTAAGCCTAGGATATTTTATATTACTCTAGTAGCCAGTAAGTTATATTAATATTATTTGTATATTATAATATTTTTAAATAATAATATACTTTAAGGATTTGAAGTACCCACGAATAATATTTTTAATTTACAACTCAAAACTAAAAAATTCTCCTAGTTTAAATATCTATTTTTGTTCAAACTTTAACTTAGATATAACTTAAATAACTATTGAACTTTTTAAACATTTTTATTTTTAACTTCATGATAACTTTTCAATTATCAATTTGATAAATGTTGTGAAAATTTGAAATTTAAATGATTATAAAGAAAAATCTTGCCTATGTATTTTTAATATTTCTAAACTGATATTGTAACAATGTGTGAGGAGCCTTGTACTAAATGTTTAAGCTTTTTGACACAACAGATACAATTTTATTGAAATCTATAGAAAAAAAAAACGAATTAAAATTGTTCTTAAGACAGCTCAAAAAGCAAAAAATTATAAAACAAACATATGGTGTAAATTTCAAGTATCTATCTACAGTTCGTTTTTGAATTACAACACAATAAGAAAATCACTCCATTAGAAATCAAGTGAATATCCAATATTATAAAAATTTGAACTTCAAACAATCATAAAAATGTAATTTAACTTTCCGGTAGACATTTTTTTTTTTTGATAAAAGTAGTCAAACTTATGAGTAATTTTGTATTAAATTTTAAAATCTAAGATATAAAAAGAAACAATTTTATGAAATTCTAACTCAAAATAATTTGCACATTTTTTTGATTTTCTTTGATTTTTTGGACTTAAGACAATCGTATAAAATAATTTGTGGATTTACTCTCAACTTTTTTATAATGTCCACTAACAATAACATACGATGTATTACATTTTTATGTTTTTTTATCGACATTCTTTTAAAAAAAATAATAATCAAAAATTTAAAATATAGATCACAATATCAAAATATTTTAAATTTGTATGATTTATATAAAATACTAAATACTAAATACTAAAATACTAATAATATAAACATTTCAATGAAAATGTCATTTATCTACTGTATTTTTTTTTAGTATTACACCAACATTTGCCTTTTTTTACTTAATTTTTAATTTTTTTCCAACCGCTTTTGATAACTTCTGGGAATTTTAAATATGAATAATTAATTGTTTAAAAGTAGGTAACTCATAGTAAACTTATTTACAACTATTTATTTAGTTGTACTTGAAGCAACCAATCTTACTGATGATTGTATTGGGTCATTGGAAACAGAAATATTTTTTTTATATATTTTGTAGTTGAAACAAATTTCTTTGTCGCCCGAATACTGTTCATATTCATCTTAGTTATGATAACATAAGTGTTGCCCTTAAAATGGATATTAAAGTTATGACATGGAATATCAGTGCATAGTTATATTATATAATACTAAGCAAACTTTTTTTTGTATAGGTACAACAATTTAAAGCTTTATAATTTTAATTCTTTATATAAATCAACTTTAGGAAATAATTTTGGTTTATTAAAAATTAATTTGAGTATTTGGTTTTTTATCTCTAAGGTTCAGGTTTTTAAGTGCTAAATAAGTTGAAATATGATGTGTACTATTATTTTCCAAAAAAAAAAAATACAACCTTATATTCCCTTTTAATCAAAAATTAAAATATCTAAGTTTTTGTTTACATTTTACAAAATATTCCAAGATATGCTAAGGAAACTAAATATTCCCTAATCCCTGAAATATTAAAAAAAAACTGTTTCCTGTATATTCTGTATTGAACAAACTGTCACAAGTCTAAACAAGTTTTTAAACTGTATACACCAAGTAATATGTAAAACAGTGGTGTACACAGCTATTTTCAATGGGGGGGGCTTACATATAAAAAATTTTATACATATATAATATATATTATACATTGATAAATCAAAACGATGTACCTATAGTAATTATTTTGTACATAATGAGTAATCAGCTCATTAGCAATGACTTAAGGTGAAATTAAAAATATTTTTACAATACTCGATTATTATTTAAAAAATATATACCTACCTATTATCTACAGGTAATTATTTAGTATAACTACAAAGCTACACACGTACATACAATATGTATATAATAATATATATTATATACAATTCAATAAAAGATAGGTATAAAAAGAAATTTATTTTTATCATATTAATAATTTTTTTGTACCTAGGTCCTAGGTTGATAATATAATGCAGGGGTCTCCAAACTTTTTTATTCAAGGGCCACAAAAAAAATCAAATGCTCTTAGCGGGCCAAAAGTTTATTAACACTTATAATTTTTAATTTTATGATAATATAGGTACCTACCTATATAAATAATATGTTTACTTTATATTTTTGTATAAAATATTGTTTACTTTACAATATACTTAAATAAAAATAAATAGGTATAAATATAATATAATATAAATACATTTTTGAAATAATTTTTTTATCTATATTTACATATGCGGGCCACGGGCCGGTTAAAACTTGTTGGCAGGCCGTAGTTTGGAGACCCCTGATATAATGTATTAAATATTTACCTGGTTCCTCCGAGTTAATTGTATCACAAATTAGTGAGTTAGAAAAATATTCGTTTATTCTTTTCATTTTTATTGTTTTATAAAATATTTAAACAGTAAGTACAATTTACTAAACGTCCAAAGAGTCAGGAATTTGATTGAAAACTGAGAAATAGATTCTATATCTATACTGTAGTATTAGCGATACTGAGATAGCTATTAAGGCATATTATATCGGATTACACGATTGTCGACCCTCATGTTTGTGTTTGAACAAATTTCCCAATAATTTCATTAATTTGTAACAAGTTATCAATAATATCTACAATATATTATAACAACAAACTGGGTTGCTTATAAGTTATAATATAATGGAGTATAATTTGGAATATAATATTTTTTTAAATTGTCATCATTTTTATTATACATTTTTACGTTATTACGTAAACTGAAAAAATACTAAAGGGGGGGTTTGAACACCCAAACCCCCCCCCGTGTGTACGCCACTGATGTAAAACCAAGTGTAAAACTTAAAAATCTGGACCCTACTGATCGCTATTATGTTAAGCATTTAAAAATCTATATAACATTAAAGGTTGTTACCTAATCCTAGTCACCAAAATAAATCTAGAATTTAATAGGATTGTATAATGATTTTTGTCAGGAGTTAATTATAATAATTATAAATAAACTATTTGTAGATAAATTACATAACTTCATAGTTTTGTACTAAACTTAAGTCATATTTGAAATTTAATTGGATAAAATTGTCTTAACTATTTAATTGCTTTTAGACTGAATTTTCACCTCCCGTGAAATTTAAATCAAAGCATGAAGATGAAGCACATACAGTACTTGAGTATTATTTAGTATTATCACCATTTCAAAAGCAAACTCAAGTCGAATTTTCAAACATAAGGATTAAAGAAACAGCCATTAGATTTCTGACAGTTGTTAATTTGCTTGACAAACCTAGACAGGTTAATAATACTGAATACTCTAACATTTTTAAAATTAATATAATTTAATGAAAATCATATTGATTGTATTATTCAATTTTTACAGTTTGTTTTACCTTCTCCAAATGATGGTATACATTTTGATGTTTATGAATTCACCTTACAACCAAAGTCAGAACGTAAGCTATCAATTACTTGGCAACCATCTGTATATGGAAAAATGCGAAAATCGATTAAAATAGAACAAGTAGATAACAAGCGAAAATACGATTTTGTTATTATTGGAAATTGTATTGATCCTTTACACAAGAAATTAAGAGTAAGCCAACTATGTGATTTTTCTGTATCTTTAGTCTATACTCCCGCCCTTTAGAGAACGATCGTAATCCTCACATCGATACTGACGGTTGTGAGTGCTGCTCTCCCACCATAGTTCCATTCCCACTACTCGACGGCTTGTATTCAGCAGTTGACAAAAACACAGAACAAATACATTGCTTACATTGTATAGTAAACTATAAACGATGTTTCTTGATATATATTGAATAAAAAAATAAAAAAATATGTTATAACATTAATGGAACCATTGTAATAGCTATCGCTATGTATATACTAATGTCAACAATGCTCCTCGGTGATCATAGCCGACCGGTATGATTTGGTATATGGCGTGGGGGAGACAATGCTCAGCGACTGATGAGTCCTTACTGTCGATCTCTCATGGGCGAAAGTATATTGGCATTATCTCAATATTAGTTTTTTATTTTATTAACTTTATATTTTAAAAGTTTAATCTATAGTAAATATTTTTCAGGGTGCTTCTGTGAAATTAGCAAAGTCCAAAAATTCAAATTTGGCTAAAAATAAATTTAATGGTGGTCAGAACAAAATAATTTTGAATAAAACCAGATTTGTTAATTCTACATCAGAAAGAGTTGTTTTAGTTGATAATGCCACAAAAATATCTGAACCTATTCAATCAAAAACTCTAGAATCTCCTATGAGACGGCAAACCTATTCAGTTGAAGAAAAAGAAAATATTCCAAATTTGAAAAACAACATGATTGACAACAACACAACCTTCACTAGTTTTGAACACTGTTTTAAACGTTCAGATAAAAATCATCAAAACACCACATTCAGTAATCACATTAATACCCAAAATACAAATTGTGACATAATGACTGATGATTCACTAGATGAATCACTCAGTAAATTAATCAACACTAGTTCTCCATTTAACAACTTTTTTTTAACCCCATTGAAAAGTACTGAAAACTTGATTTCTCCATTCAGTACCACGAAAAAATGTATTAGTTTTGATATAGCCGATAAAAACATGGCTTTTACTTCATTCACCACATCCCCATTTAAGCCAATAGATGCTTCAACTGCAGCTAAGATTTACACTCCTGACAATAGAAAACCTGCTAGAATATCTGTAAACCTCTGTGAGAAATTTGAAGAAATACCAAAGAATAAATTAAATATGGATAATGCAACTTTTATCAAAAATACTAGTCCGAACAAATTTGCATTACCTCTAAATGTTGAACAATCCTTCAACATTTTGCAAAATCATGAATGTTCTACCACTTGTACACCCATGCAACATACAAGTAACTTCAACATAATTACTTAATACCTAAACGTTAGAATTAATTATACTAATTTATTATTTTTCATGTTTTAGGAATTATTTCAAGAAGTACTAAGCCCAAACGACCATCATTTGTTGTTAAAAATTCTCCTTATTATAAATGTAGCCCAAAATCATCAATGATTTCTAAGAGTAGATTGAAACAATACAGTAAGTTATTATTATTTATAATATCATTTATAACACTGTATTATTACAAAAAATGTATCTACTTATGATTATTTTCCTAGGCATTCTTAGTCCACGGACTAAAAATTTGAGGACTCCAAAATTGGATAAGTGTGATCAATACCTCAAGTGCTTGGCAAATCCAGAACTTGTGTATCACAATAATTCTGAAGATCCATTCTTAAAAATGTATGTTGGAGCATAAAAATAAATATTATTATGAATATAAAATATATAGGTAGTACATATTTTTATTTTAGGTCTCAATATTATGAAGCTGAATGGTTGGATCGCCAAGAATCTGATATGATTCGATGGTTAAATGCACTTCTTATGCCTACTGATAAATTGGTAGACGAAGAACAATTAGATGACTTGGAACAAGCAGCGGTGGCTTGGGAAGAGGCATCCAAGACAAGCCACAGAAATAAGCCTATGCAATTTGCTACTCAAAAAGATCTGTTTGTGTCACAAATATACAAGCAGTGTCCACAACAATGGAGTGCATTGCGAAAAGCAACATCAAATCTTCTTACATCCACAAATGTGGCGACTGTTTTATCAAAATTAACCATATCAATAGAAAAAGATTTCATATCAGTACGAGATGATCGTCAAATACATTTGGATTTAAGTGAGATTTGGTTTAAATTTAAAATTGTTTGTATAGTTAATAATTATAATTTATTTTGTTAGATTTAAAGAAAAAAATTATGGATTTGTTAAAATGTTTTAATCCACTGTGGTTACGAATTGGTTTGGAAGCAGTATATGGTCAAATAATTCACATAAATTCTGGATCTAATGACTTAGATGGGCTCGGATGGTTTATACGTAAAAATTTGTTTAATAACGATTTCATTAAACAAAAGTTCACCAAAGCTACTGTTCTTCAAGTGAACCTTCCCACATACAATGTAAAGAAAAATATAAATATATAATTAATTTTTATTGAAAAATAAAAATGTTTTATATTTCAGATTGCCATGAAAAAATTTATCTTGAAAAAAATATTTATGCTTGTATATTTTTTGGACCGTGCTAAAGAACAACAACTTATCAGACATAATCCATGTCTTTTCAAAATAGATTCTCCTTATAAAGTGAGTGTATTAAACGGACATTACACTGGCATTTATTGCCTCCTCATTACAAGTGCGTAACATAGCAATTTTACGCTCAGAAAATCACGTTTGTTAGTTTAAAAATTAGAGTGAACCGACCCATTACAAAACTTGATGGTAAGAACATTAACTGTGTTTGTATGAGGGTTTTTTACGATAGTTTAATTTTTATCAAGTTATGTTTGTATAATAAAGCGCCAATTAGAAATGGTCCTAACTCACATAAAAACAAAATTGTCGTAAAAAAACCCACATACAAACACAGTTAATGTTCTTACCATCAAGTTTCATAGTAGGTCGATTCACTCTAATTTTTAAACTAACAAAGCTTAACTTGATTTTCTGAGCGTAAATTTGCTATTTTATGCACTTGTAAGAAGGATTCAACAAATGCCAGTTTTACAAACTCTTAATCATGTTTGATGTGATATACTTCATCACAAAGTAAATAATTTTTTTTTATTTACAGAGTAGCCATGATTTCTTGATGGGATTTTGTGCTGACATGGTAACATCAAATGGAGATATAAATCGTCGGCTTCGTAGTATTGACTATAATTTGACCCATAAACAAACTCATTTGGACGAAGTTAATTATGCTGTTAAATCATTAAATGACCTTAGGGATGGCACCAGAATCACTAGAATCGTTGAACTCTTGTTCAAAGGAGAGCCACTGTCACAGAAATTAAGACTTCCCGCCATATCGAAACTGCAGAAAATCCACAATGTAAATTTGGCATTAACAAGGATATCTGAACATATTACCATCGAGGGAAATATAAGTACTCGTGACATTGTGAATGGCCACAGAGAAAAAATGTTATCACTATTCTGGCAATTAATTTATAAGTATTTAACTCCTCGATACAATAAAGCAGCAAAAACAATTCAACATTGGTGGCGAAACAGTAACCTCAAATTAGTTATAATAAAAAGGATTAGAGCCAAGCAAACGTTTAAACGTCACTTGGCTGCTACTAAAATACAAGCTTGGGTCCGTGGTTATTTGAATAGAAAACATTGGGCACATAAGCAAGCCGAATTAATTGAAAACCGTGAAAAGTTACATCTAGCATCAACTAAAATCAAACAATACCTACAAAATAAACTAAAACTTTTAACTGAAGACCGAAAACGGTTTATAATTTTAAGAAGAACTGCAGTGTTTGTTCAAAGAACATTTAGATCCAAAATTGCAATGGAAAGAGATAGACAACAATTTATAAAAGCTAAACAATCAGTTTTACTTATTCAAAAAGTGTATCGGGGTTTTATAATCAGAAAAAACTGGTCGCAAATAAAAAATGCCCTTATAATAGAAAAAATTAATAGAATTAATGCCATTAACGTCATCAAACGCTCTCTAAGAAAGAACTTACCACCCACTGAAGACAAATTGTATTATAAAAAATTATTGCATGTAACATTGACCATTCAAAGAAGATTTAGGGCAAATAATTTGATGAAAGTACAGATGAAAGCATTTATTATGTTAAAAAGAAGTGCAGTAATCGTGCAACAAAGATTTAGAGCAAAACAAGCCATGGTACAACAAAAAAATCACTATTTAAAACTTAAAATGTGTGTATTTAAATTGCAGGCTGTAACTAGAGGTTACCTTGTGCGAAAAAAATGGCCTGCGTTACATACAGAGTTAAAAGCTAATAGAACACATTTAACAAACTGTAGTAATATAATTAAGAGAGCGCTCAGAAGTAACCTTCCATTAACAGAAGACCGCATTCAATTTCTTGATTTAAAACGATCTGTCATTATTATACAAAACCGATTCCATGCTTTGAAAGAAATGAAGCTACAAAGACAAAAATATCTACATTTAAAAACTGTAACCCTTAAACTGCAGAGTTTGGCTAGAGGATATATACTAAGAAAACAATGGCCGTCTCTGAGAAATGAGTTGATGGTAAAACGTCAACGTTTGATCAATTGTAGTAATATGATTAAGAGAGCGCTCAGAAGTAATCTTCCATTAACAGAAGACCGCATTCAATTTCTTGACTTAAAAAGATCTGTCATTATTATACAAAACCGATTCCGTGCTTTGAAAGAAATGAAGCTACAAAGACAAAAATATCTACAAATAAAAACTGTAACTCTTAAACTGCAGAGTTTAGCTAGAGGATATTTACTAAGAAAACAATGGCCGTCTCTGAGGAATGAGTTGATGGTAAAACGTCAACGTTTGATCAATTGTAGTAATATGATTAAAAGAGTTCTAAGAAAAAACCTTCCAGCAAATAACAACCGTTTAAGATTTCTTGAGATTAAAAGAGCCACAATTCTTATCCAAAGTAGATTCAGAGCTAATAGACAAGTAAAAGAATATCGGATGTTACGTAACAATGCTATTGTGATTCAAAGGAGGTTTAGGGCTAATGTGGCTATGAAACAACAAAAAATAATTTATGAAGACACCAGAGCTAAGATTATCAGACTACAAGCATTCTTCAGAGGACATTTGGTTCTCAAAAAATGGCCTGAGACTAAATATGAATTGGAAGCTAATAAGAAACAATTAATTTCTTCTAGTAATACAATAAAAAAGTTCTTGCGCCTTTGCTTGTCGCCCACTCCTGATCGTTTAAGATATATCAAACTGAGACAGTCTGTAATGAACCTTCAGGCAAGATATCGAGCCATTGTTGCGATGAAATCAGCAGAACGAGAATATTTATTATTAAAAGATAGTGTGATCATATTGCAAAGACATTACAGAGCACACAAAGCCATGTTAGTACAAAAACAGCGATATGAGCTTCTGAAGAAGTCCACAATTGTATTGCAGACTCATGTTAGAGGATACTTGGCTCGTAGACGTTGGCCACAGTTAAAATATAGTATGGAAGCTAAACATAGATTAGCAATTGAAACTTTAGAGGTAAGTTTTTAATATTTTATAAATTATTTTTAAAACAATTTTCTTTACAATGTGCAGCTTGGTGCAAATTAATTCGGCAGCTCGCATAATAGCTATTTCTCCAAGTAATTGTGTATTTTGTTCTCTTCTGCTTATCACGCATATCGCATTTTATCTTAAAGAAAAATGTTCTGTTCTTTCAAAACTTGTCTAAACGTTGTATACTATAAGATTTAAACATACACAGTGCAAAAGGTTGTTAGTTGGCCATGCGTTCTTATTTGAGTTGAAAATGGAAATGCGAGCTGCCGTTCAGTTACAAATTTGGACCAGAAATGTAATGTTAAATCGTAAACATTTACAGAAAGAGAATGTCGCGGCATCTAAAATACAGGCTATTGTTAGAGGATTTTTGATAAGAAAGAAATTACCCAAGATCAAGGAAGAATTACACAATCAAAAGCTTGTGCGGGCTGTAACTTTGATACAGGTAAATTGTCAATATTACTCATACAAACTTACAACAGAGTATAGATTATTTGTGTGATTAAATTATTTAACAGGCCATATGGAGAGGTTATATTGTAAGAAAGAGATATCAGTGTAGACGAGAAACAATTAGAATTCCTCAAAAAGGTGCCCTCACATTGGGCAAACGACACAATGACGTGGTTGATGTATTAAATAAGCAAAGAAGAAATGAATATTCATATCGGGAACTTGCTACGGTTTTCTGGAACTTAGGTAGTATATCTGCTATATTATAGAAATATACTTTAGACAAACAAATCTATAGTTAAAATTGAAATTGATTGAATATCAACTATATTGTCAAACTTATAATATGTTAATAATATTGTCTTACTATATGTCATACCTATGGTTTTTTTAGTGCAATGTTTTGTTTTTAGATACATGTACAACCTTATCTAAAGAGCTATGCTTGAAGACGTCAGAAAGTGTGATTGTGGACCATATGTTTCACTTTTTGCATTATTCCAACCAGTCGCAACCAAGTATCGAAGCAAGGGAGCCAGCAATCCGCGTGCTGACAAATTTACTTAAGTACCATGAAACCTCTTGGCACATCTGGATGGTGAGTTCTTAAATAGCCATCAATAATTTGTTTTTATAAATAAGGTTAACAATCAGTAATCTCTGATTTTTTATAGTATTTATTTTTATTACACATAATACTCAACATCCTCCTAAAATTATATTATAGAGAACCGTTAATGCTGATATGGTGAAAGACCTAATCAAAATGATGAAGACGTGTTGTGGAAAAATCAGCTCAAAAAAATTGTACTGTTCAATTGCTACTTGGATTTGGATAGCCCTACAAGACCCAGAAAAAAAACTTGTTAGTATTTCTATTTCTATATAATAGAGGCCACTACACCTGCAATCACTATATATTATGGGGCTCTACAATTGTTTTTAATTTTTACGTTGCCCTTTTCTTTTTCCTATTTAGATTTTTTACTGTTTCTATTAAATCCATCAACCATTGTCATAATGCGATAATAATGTAAAAGTTAATATATCTATGCATTGTACATTTTGTTGTATAGAGAATATAATAACCATTAATAACAATGTTATTGTTCACAAGGAATGGAATCACTGGTGTGCTGCTAGGAAAGACCTCACTACCCACCCACATCCCACCTGGTAGTTCCATCTATTAGTATTATGAGTACTTTATACAAAAGTAGATTGATCTATAATCAAATTTAAATGTGAAAATAAATATGAATCTGTTTTTTTTTTAAACTTTTCAGTTAGATGAGTTCATGATAATTTTAAATTTATTCTCAATATTATTCCTTTTGAATTTCATAATTCATCAATTCAGCTCTAGTATTAAGATGTCATAGCTCTCTCTGACCCGCAGATGACAAAACAAATTTATGTTCAGTAGAACCAGCTTTGTCTTGTTACCTTTAGTAAATTGCAGAGTGAATTATCTATAGTCTTGTGTTAACTTTTATTTGATTTTAAAATTTTTATGAGAGTTGAGTATATAAAATCTTTCAAATTAAAAATGCTCATATCTCGTATTAAAATATACATTTTGTAATAAATCCAGCTTAAGAACATAGATAATTTCTCAACTTCAAATTCAATAATAGGTCAACTCACTATAATACTAAATGTCTAAATCTAACAACAAAAAGCTGGTTCTGCCAAACATAAATTTTACCTGTGGTTGGAGAGAGAAAACAAAGTGTTTAAAAAAAAAAACAGTTAAATTGAATATTCAGAATCTAAAATTTGAAACTGTTTTGAGTTTGTTATATGGTGTGGGTGTCATTCCAAATAGGCTAAATCAGCCTTCAATTAAATTCAAACTTTTTTAAAGTTTCCTATTTATTTATAATTATTACTGACTCACATATTGCTCATTGGATGTAAACGCATTTTATTAAAGAATACCCAAAACTAACATTAATAATTGTGTCATGACAAAATATTACTATTTCATTAATATAAAATATTATGTTTAAAATATTCTGTTCATTATAAAACACATTTGTATATTAAAATAATTTGTTTGTTTTATACACTGTTATGTTAAAAAATACTATTGTAGAAGATTAATTTTAATAATGATACATTTTTATCTAACTTGATTAACTATTTAACTAGCACTAGATTATTATATTAATTATTAAAATACATTTTTTTTAATATCACAATACTTAAACAATAATTTTTGAATAAACAAATTATGCTCTTAGAAGTATCCCATTCCTAAAATTACTCCTACCTTGTACTAAAATGTAGAGAAATGTCATCTGAGAAATTATTCACTCTAAAAGATGTATCCTTAAATTTAGTTTAAAATAATTGGTTCATTTGTTACAGTACATCCAAAAAATTCCATCCGCCATGGTGGATTTAAAATTCATGATGGATACTTTGAAAAAAAGGTACATAACATCAAAAGTGGACAAAAAAACAATGGTATTACCTTCGACGCGGCCTACTTGGAGTATTGGCTCTAAATGTCAAAAGTGTTTTGACTCTGACTTCTACGCAACAGCTCAGATTTGCAAACTTTTGAACATTTAAAATAATTATTACATATGTCTTACGTTTTTTACTTTTATCATAACATTTTATTATTAACTGTTGATTTTTTTTTTTTTTTTTTTGTGTATATATAATAATTTTTACCATATTTTAGGAATTAAAATACATTATTTTATACTTTCTCATTTATTAATTGATTGAATTTATTAAGATTTAAGATAATGTATTAAGTATAAGATTAAAATAATTATAGTTATTTGAATGTTATAAAAACAATACAATGATCCTAAATAACTAAATCATTTTTGATATTAAAACTGTTAAAGATTATAGATTTCAATCTATATAAAATTCAATTTTAAATACAATGTTTTTGTAATTTTTTTAAAATTGTTTTGACTATTTTAATATTAATATCGCCTTTCACTTAAATATTTGAATATTATTTAGATTTATCGATTATTGAGAAAATCAAAATAATATTCAATGATTCATTGGTTTAATGCTTGTTAAAATGTGTTGTATCTATTTAAAATTCATACAATGTAATTCTGTAGCATAATTTTTGTTAGATAATTTGATAATTAATTTTATTTGCTAATTTCAAATATAGTAATTAATAAATAATAAATTAAAATCATTTAAATTAAAAATTCCTTGGTTGTTTGAGTAGCTTTAAATTTGTTCTCAGTCATCTTAAACTAAACATTTAAAATATGTTTAATTTAAGTCTGATTTTTCTTAATTTATTTTATCACAGGTTGTGAAGATAAAATTGTATACAATCGGTGGCTTCATTGTTTCATCAAAATTCTATAACAAATATTTAAAAAGAATAGTTATTTATTAATAACTCAATGATACAGTTCTATTCATTTAATTTTTTAATTCAAATGTAAATACTATTTACCTAAATCATATTTTTTTTTTTTTTTTTAAGTTAACTTTTCTATAAATAATTAACATTTGTTAATGTATAATTATTAACTATATATATTTTATGGTTAAAGTACAATTACTGGTTTTTCCAACTGCTCCCAGTAAGGGTCCTATGGTACATTTAGTCAACCTAGCTTTTCACAGCCATGGCATTTTTTTTTTTTTAATTAATGTCGATAAATAATTTTTCGCTCGGTGAAAAACTTGAAAATAAATACAAGGTTAGTCATAAGCTGTTATAGTAACTGTTTAAAAATATTTAAAATTCAGTTACAATTTTTTTTATAAGTATTTAAGTTTCCGTTATTTTTAATGAAACTATATTTTTTATCATGGAAATAATAATGTTTTTTCGAACTTTTTTTATTGTTTTATTTTAGGTGTATTAATGATGATATTAGGAAGACAAATATATACGATAATTGTGATTATTTTTTTTAAGAATTTAAAGTTTTTAAAAATATTTAAATGTTTAAGATTTGAATTGTTTGTCAACATAGGTGTATTTTAGAGGGATTGGGGGGCTTGGCCCCCCAGTGTGAATATTAGCCCCTCACCCAGTATTATTATTGAGTATTTCGTTCAGGTTAATGTAAAACCATGACAATACACTCTTACTAATATTATAACTTGTATAGTTATTTATTACAATTGTGTTTCGCACATCAGAATATAATAAGCAATATAATTTTAGATTCCAAGCAGAGCGAGTTAGTACTTTTGAGAGGTAAAAATTGAAAATTCCCAGTACCCACTTTTCTTAATAATTATTATTAGTGGTGTGGGGAGGGGGGATAATTAAAAACGACCAAATTTTTACTCCATACCAGTTTTTGCAAAATCAATGTTGTTTTTATTTTTAATGTAGTTTTTCTACTTTATAATATGTTGATACCTATAAAACCTTATAATATGTTCATATCATAACATTTTAAAAATATCAAAAATACATAGGTAGTCACAATATTTTATTATAAGCGTTTAAATATTTTGGGTAAAATTGACTAATTTTAATTTACACACTAAAAACAAATAAATCTTAAATGTTTAAATATTTCTGAAATACTTTAGATAGTTGAAAAAAAAATAATGATAATATTTTATATATATATTATATATTTTATATTATATATAATATTTTTTCTTCCCTATATAATTAATACACCTACAATAAAATGATATAAATAAAAATTCAAAAAGATAATGTATTTCCAGCATAAAAAATATATGTAGTTTCATTAAAAATAATGGAAAAAACGTCATAAGACATACAATTTCCACGTTTATATAGTTATAAACAAGTTCATAATAAACGTATGATTATGATTTTTTTTTTTTTGGTATGGGACTTTTGACTTTTGACTCGTTTTGAGTTGCTAAAATGGCGTTTCAGACCACTGTGCATTGTTACAAATAATGCAAACCCGTAGTAGCGTATAGATGTATTGACGTATAGTTCATCGTTTTACTATTTACCTATTTTAATAAATAAACAAGCTATTTAGGAGAATGACAGCGCAATATTGGTTTTCTATCACAGATACACCACCCACGCACAATATAGATAAAACGTTTTAAAATAAAATCGTTTTTTTATGATTTAAAGTAAAATCATGAATCAACAATTATAGAGGATAATATTTTTGAGCGTATGCAATATCGCTTTTATATTTTATTGTTATTTGACTTATAAACTAAAAAATGTTGTACATTGAAATTATGTTTAAAGAGAGGGAAAACACATAGTGCGCTGACATCCTCTTAACAACACTGAGGGACGCTCATTACTTTTTATTTTTAAATAAACCATCCGGGCCGTAATAAGCAGAAAACAAAGTTTGAAATTTTCTTGCAAAGACTATAATATTATGTACTACACTAGGCGTATGTACTATTGTAGGTACTAAGTATAAATTTTAAAGGTAGGTAGGCATAAGGTCGACTGTGTGTCTGTGTCAGCGCAAGGCCAGATTTACAGAAAGTTTTAAGGGCATATTCCTTGAGCAGCAGTTGTCTGGGGAGGCCATCTGGATGCCGAAATACTATGAAAAAATGTTTAGCCCCAATTTAAGATATTTGTGAAAAAAAAATATTAACTTCAAAAAAAAATATTAATTTGTATTTATATTAAACATGAGAGAATGGCATTGGGGAATCCAGCGAAAACAAAATATTTTTGTAGGAATATATGTATATGTCTAGTGGTTATATCATTACCTATTTTTCAAAAAAATTCGAACTACACATTTGACTTACAATGATATAGTGACGAAGAGGACCAAGAAATTTAATTTAAATTGATATATTATGCAGTAAAATATAGGGCATAACTTTTATAAATTTAAGAGAATTAAAATCGTACCACCGAAATAATTAAAGGTATTCGACCTTCATAATAATTCAACAGCGTTTTTAAAACTTCTTTTATCTTTCGACTGTGGAATACCCGAATACAGCACGTTTTTTTTATTATGATGTAACGAAACGAATCGTTTCAAATTCTAGACATACCTACCTAGTGGCGGATTCAGGAGTGGGGCACAGCCGCACAGTAGCACGTGCCCCCTGTCAATTTTCTATAGACAATTTTTTTATATTAACTACGAGAATCATATAAATGAAAAATCAATTTAATAAGAATAATTCTACCAACTATTAATTATTTTTATTATTAGGTATTATTATTATTATAATCATCATTATTTTTTTAAAAGAATAGTATGCAATATGTATGTATTATTAAATAAAATTTAAATTATACAATTTATATGTGGCCCTCTTATCAAAATATCGAAGTTCAGCCCCTACTAAGATGGTAATAATATTATAATTTATCATCGAATTTGTAAGAGTCCGTTTGGCATTTTGTCTTTCAACTCTAGACCATCTAAGGTCTATGCTTTCAATTAGATGTGTATCGTACATTCGTACGCATTCAGCTTATATTCCTATAAGATATGTAACCAGTGGCGCAAGTAGGGGTGCTTAGGTTCCCCTGACGAAGATGTAGCCCTTCCCCTCAAAAAAAAAATAACCTTAATTTATTTAGAAATAAACTCTCTATCTGTTATTTCAAATAAATAGTTTTGTTAGGTGGGCTGTGGCCCCTCCATAATTTTAACCTCAGTTGTGCCTATAGATATTATATTGTATATTATATAAAATTGATATTGGTTATTGGTATCAGTAATGGTATAGATTGGATAAATTTTTCCAAAAACCAATTGTATAATAATATTATGATATTATTATATTCTATAAGTCAATATAGGTAGGTACCGCTGTTCCATTTTATTTTTATCAATGAGTAGATATACTTGTGGTTTAAATAGTTTGAAATTTATCTAAATATTTTGAAAATCCAACGTCATAGCACATAATGATAATATACTACACAGCACGGACTAAGATATACAGGACTGGTCACGAGATGAATATTTTGGTTACGAAATGTAGTACAACAGGCGGAGTTCAGGGGGATATTTTCCTTTTAGCATTATTAGTATCCACTAAGACACTAGTCTTCGGCTAGTAATGCCAAAAGGAAAATATCCCCCCGAACTCCGCCTGTTGTACTACATTTCGTGATCAACCCCCCACACCCTCCAATCATGTCGTGTCCAATCCTGTACCTATAGGTATAGGTGCTACACACTGAAGCAAAGTTTCCAGCCTCTACGAATAATAATAAAATTCATATTTTTATATTTAAATAGCGTTTACTGTTAAAAGAATTTAACCCAATCTTAACCTTGATATCTTTAAAGTTACGAACAACTTTCAACAGTTAATTACATCTTATGACTTCCTAATAAATATATAATATACATCCTATAAAACGTATTAAGTGCTATTCAGTTATGCAACACTGGGTAGGTGTACCTATCATAAAAGATTTTCATTTTTAAAAATTCAATTTTAGATTCTGAGTGAAACGATGAATGTATTGATTTTACAATGATGTGTGTTTTTATATTTATTTTTTTTGTGTCTGTGTACACGATAAGTAGTCGAAATAATGCTTCGATTTTCGACTTCAGTATCTTGTTCGATTGGAAAGTGAATATCGTTGGTGCATTGGGGAGGTCAAAATTTAAATT